GGGGGGAAAGGGAGTGAACCGCAGCTGGGGAGTAATTCCATAATCGATCAGGGCGTTGCATAACGAGACTCCTCCGGGTGTCTCTGTCCGCCTCACTGAGCCCCCGACTCTGATACTGCAGGCAGAGAGACTCGAGGGTGCGTCTTTGTCAAGTCCAGCGCCGCGCCCCTCCACCGTGCGAGCGTGAGCAGCCCGACAGAGGTAGAAGGGCGCCGGGAGGGTAGGCCGCCCACCGTCCACGCGCTCACTGCGTGCTGCCGCCCAGCAGCGGGGGCCTCGACGGCCCAGCTGAGCGCGCACGACGTGGCAGTTATGCGGTCCTTACAGGACCCGCATCGCGCTCCCTGCATGTACAAAAAAAAGAAAAAGAAAATTTAAAAGAAAAACAATAAAAACCTGGGATTTGTTTTCAAACGCCGAAAAATGTCCTTATCACTCCTGGGCGGACTTCCCCTGCTCCTCCGACACGTTGAGCATATGTTGCAATCCCAGCACCGCGGGCCGCGTGTCGTCGGGATGAGTATGAGCTCAGCCCGCGCACTTTATCGCGGCGTCAACACCGCTGATAAGCGCCAGGAGCAGAGCAGGGAGGTGGAGGTGCGTCGGGACATGAGTCAAACCGGCTCGCGAAGAGCCGCGCCGCGTCTAGGCGAAGCTAGAATAGGGGGCAAAATGAATGGCAAAATGGGAAGCAGCACGCTACGGTACCTGCGGAATCCTGAGTGTCCGCTTCTACTGTATGATGTGGTCTGGTGGGAAAACGTCCAACATCCAAGGACGGCTGGGGTCCCCGCCGAGGGCCGCCGCGCCGGCGCCTCCCTGGCGCCTCGCTGAGCGTCCTCCTCTAGCAGCGGTGCACCCGCGCCACCTGACATGACGTGCCTCATAGGCGCTTCCGTAGGAGAGGGGCAGAGTGACGGGGGAGAACGGCAGGTGTGCGAGATAACGAGACAGAACGGGCGCAAGTAGGTTAACAAGAACTTCATTTATTAGTCATTAAGGCTACACAAGTGATCTAAAGAATGCTCTCAGTCCTACAGACACAGAAAATCTACAAATCACTTTTGAAAATTTTAAAAAAACAAAAAACCATACAAGAAAAGGGGGGAAAACACACATGGCCGAGATAGGCGGATAGCAACTAGTTTTCAACATTGTTCTTTGTACATGATTCAAACAAGTTAATATGATTAAAAATACTTCATCTAGAACAATAGGTTCAACCTTGGAGAGCAGAAAAGGAGAACCAGAAAATCTGGGCAACAATTGAACACATATCAACCACATTGGTAACCTCCACAAACAATGCAAAAATGTACAACATAAATGTAGAGTAGTAAGTTTGTAAAACTTAATATAGAAAATGTGCAATATTTTCAGGTCTCAACAAAAATACAGGATTGTGCCCACAACAAAAGCAGCTTGTGATCACTGTTTAGCTTCATCATGTATGTTCCTCCATTTCATTTCACAATATTTGTAAGTAGTTATAACAAGAATTGACATTTTTGAGCTTTGTTACACAACCCCCTTAAGAATGAAAAAGCAAAGCTCAGTACTGTACAATTAATACTGAAAACATACAGAAGAAAAAAAGTGCTCCATTTCATGGTCAATGTCTGATACTGATATACTTCAAATTTGATATACTTCAAATGTTCCCAATGTTACAAACAGACATCACATTTTACTTGATAAGATTTTGTATGGGGAGACCCCTACTCCAAAGCAAGCATTTATCACAATACCTCATGTTCTAAGACCTTCTTGATATGTTAGTTGGTGAATGAAGACACATCTTATTGCCTTCAAAAAGCTTCAAATTGGAATGGAGAACTCATACATCATAACAATGAAAGCAAATTTCATCAAAAAAAATAATTTACAAAGCATCAACTTATTTCAGTCTTCAGCTCTAATAGAACCATCACAACTTTGCAAAATATTAGCAAAGCAAAAGAAAGTCTATCTTATGTTTTGTAGGAATCTGTAAACACAGATGCTAGAATCAAAATTATTTTTTAAATCTTTTTTACATAACAAAAACAATCAAATAAGATTGGTGAACTAATAAGAAAAAATAAAAAAATATCCTCCCCTCTTAAACATAAAAGCAACAAATTGAGAAAGAAGATTTGATTACAATTTGACACAGGACCAAAGTCGGTATTCTCACAAAGTGAACTTACAAAATCCTCCTAACTAAACAAAGACAATTGGGGACAATGGCACCTGAAGTGTTTTGATTAGTGATCATAACTAGGCAAGCAACTCATTTTCACAAACCAAGTCCTACCAAAATTGAAAAAATTCCCTACAGTTATAGTAAAGCCGAATTTTTTAAATGCTTCATAAAATTTGATTGCGACAACATGTAACAGCTATGAGTCTAAGAGGAATCTGGCAATCAACTAGTCCTAGAAGTACCTACAGATTTGAGTATTGTTTCAACAAGTGATTGAGGCAATAATTGGGGTAAGAATAAGTAGTCATTTTAAGTTACACAAGAGAGGACACAATAAAGTCACCTGTAACAAGTGCTGGGAATAACATAGGTATCAATTGAAAAACTAGAGATTTTAGTCTACTCCATTAGTTTTCCATCAACACCATTAATTTTGAATGACAGCTTCAGAAACTTTAACACTGCACAATCAATCGTTAAATTGTGTCTGTCTTTGAACACTGGATGCATGTCAAAGAAAGTAGCAGAGCTGTAGTAAACAGAACCAACTTGCTCTTTCGTTAAGTACAGATAAAATACTGACTGCTATGCTTACATTCTGCTAGCACTCACAATACTCAAGAGTAGAATAACAGCAACTTTGTGTAGTATAGGTACAAATGGGAACCCGAAACTTTGGAACACATGGAAACACTCCATGCAATTCTACGACACTATACATATTTTAGCATGAGAAGATGTGCTAAGCACTGTTAATACGTCAACAAGAGGGGAAAAGATATGACGGCAATTTATAACTTGATACAAACTAGATGTATCAAACAACCTACAAAAAAGAAACAAATCAAACGCCACCAGCACTCTCTTGCCTCATCTTAAACCAATGAGTTTCCTTGTACAAGAACCATAAATCAGATGCCCATAAAAAGAAGTTCAAAAATCCAAGGAGCACAGAGATATTTAAGCTTGAGAAACTGGCGGTGTATACTTCATTAAGAAATTTGAATTGGTCCCTTAGGCTGGCAGGTTCAGTTACGGACTTGATTGCAGACAGAGAGTTAGCCCAAGCTGCACTACTAGATAGCCACAGTACAGCCAGCACTGTAGTAAGAACAAAGTCGGCGAGGGGCAGCATGCTGTTGCTCTGATAATTTTCCTCAAACAGGCCATAAACAACAATAATACCCAAACAATACAAAAACGCTAAGACACCTGAGGCGACAAAGAATTGTGAGTCAGAATGGAAATCACCTGTCAGGTAGATAGTGGATTCAGTTGGTGAAGGAGTAGTTGGAGATGGGCATTTAATAGTATCTTCAACTTCACTTAGTACAAATGGGTAACTAAATTTGAGAGTTGATTGAACTGGTGGATTGGAAGTACAAGCCTTCACAGTGACATTACCCTCATATCCGCATATTGTAGAAAATGCACATATGGCGAATACCAACTGCAATGCTCTCATGACACCTCGAGGTTCTCGGAAAGCTGCGAGACTCACGTTCATCTTGAGGCAATTGACAACGTATGCCTGGTGGGTGTAAAATCAAGTCCCAATCAGCTCAACAAGCGTCCATACAGATCCTCCACCCTTCGCCCGGTACGGTAATGCTCGGTGTCAGTTATTCTTCTACTCTATAGATGCTGACAAAACACAGATTTCACTAACGATCAGCGACACAACTGGAAAGAACCAAACTTTGTCAGGAAATCACACGAAAGTACAGGTGTACACGTTGGGAGTGGCCAAACTATCAGTACCAGTTATCTCAGGGACAGGCAGGCAGCCGTACTGCTTACTTGCTTCGACCTGCAGCTTTTTTTTTTCCTGCCCCACGAAGATCCGCTGCCTTCCATCTTGCCACTAGTTGCCTATAGCTAGGAAGGCGGTGCCTGTGCCTGTCGTCTGCACTCGCAGCTGGCAGGTGTTTGTTGATATTTTTATTTTTATTATTGTGTTAGTTACACCACAAGGGAAAATATTCTTAAGTAAACAAAGTGAGTGGGGTAATACTTCACATTTTTTTTTCGAATCATTATTTTTGATTCTTTTTTAAAATATTGTATTTACAGTGAAGTCATTCACACACTTTAAGGTTAAGTCATGTGAATGACTGGGTCACTGGCCATAGAAAGAGGTTGACCATTACCATTGTGTGTCATTTCAGATGGTTGCAGAAATGAGTGACATCAAAGATGAATCCAGGCTAGACAGCGTGGGCCTCAAAGCTTTGGAGTTAATGCAGCAAGTTATCGAGAAAAAAATGAGATTACAAGAGTTAATCAAGGCAGGTTCTATCAACCTTGCAAAATCTCGGTACATTATGGGGAATAGAAATGTTTCTGTGTCTCAACTGCCCACCGAAGACAGTGTACCTTTTTGGGCTCTTCGGAAAGTAGAAAACTCATACTCAAACGAGAATGGAATTAAGACTCCTGTATTCACACTTTTAGTTAATCAACCTCTAAAGAAAACCAAATCAGTTGAAGCTAATGTATCTGAGGGATGCACAGAAGATACAAGACCGTCATCTGATCCCTTGCATTGGTTTGGAGTTCTTGTGCCACAAAATATGCGGGTTGCTCAAGAAGCGTTCAAGAAAGCAGTTGATTTGTCAATTGAAATAGCTAACTTACAGTCACATTTGGAAGCATTAAGAATTGAATTCTGTGCTTTAAAATTTGAAAAAATGAAACTAACATGATTTCTGGTTGAAGGTTGAAATTCTGCTGTTGTAGGGTATGGGTTTTTCTGAAGCTGTTACGTTTATATATGATTTTGAATTTCCTTCACCAATCTAGGACACGATTTATCTTTTCTATCACCTAATTTAATAATTGTGTTGATATTAGCCTATTAGTTGGTTCCCACTTACCATGGTATTATAAGATGATAAATGATAAATGATTTGTATTTTACCAAGCAGTCAGTGCAGATTTGTATTTATTTGTACTTGCAAATTCCTAATTTAACGAATACCCATTGTGTAATGGCACTACAATTAGCACATAACATTACCATTGTCAAGGTCTAAGGATTGAAAACACTGTTCTAAACTAAAATTAACCTAAATCATCAATAACAGCAACATCCTCAGTCCGGAAAGAATGTTGCATCGATTTTTAAGCTGAGTAGAAGACCCGGCATAGCATTTCAACATGTGCCAGCAACAATATACTATCTACTTAATGTGTCGTCACAATGGTGAGAGGCAGAGAGGGGAAGATATCAACCATTTTTGTAGATAGGATATTGTTGCAGGCATACTTTGACTTGCTACAACTCACAAGGACACTTTTCCAATCCCAAAATGAGAATAGTCACTTAGCTTTACCCACTTTACTGCACAAGACTCAACAGGAACAGATATTTTTATCACTTGAGGCATTGGAGTTCCACTTACTTGGAATGGTCAATTATGATACAATTTAAAAGTCTTAATTTTGAAAAACACTTCTATTTATAGCAGAAGCAGGTAGTTTGATACAGGTAGAACAAATGTTTAATTGTTTAAAAGACTTAAAGAAAGATTTTTTTTTTTTTAGGTCTGCAATTTCACTAATTATCAGCAGATTTATCACATGCAACTTTCAGCTTAGAGGCCTACTATAGGCAACTTGAGTGACAGAATAACAGATTGATGTTGTTATCCAAGATTAATGAAAAGTACAGCAGTCTTTGCACTTCCCTGTAACCTGATTGTTACTACTGATAATAATGAGGCAAACTGTAAGCAAACAGAATTACAAGAAAACAAATGATTCATCTCGTGATTCATACATTCAAACAAAAAAAAAA